GATATGTTTAAAATTTGACGTCTTTAAATATTTGTTTTCTTTTTGGGAGAGCAGGGTGGACTTCCAAAATATGACATTGGATGTCTCGTGACAAACGCTGAAAAATTATCACAGTTTTTGAGTACAGAAATTCAACAGCGATTACAAAATATGGAAAACAAATTGTGTTTTAAAATGCGCATTGAGTATGCACCTATACATACATTATATATTGAGCTATATTATGAAGTCTATTCTGTAGAAACACACTGAAAAACTGCAGTTGTAATTGTATTTAATAATTATTATGCAACCAATATAGTCACATGATGCCGATAATTTATTTTCTGCTGGCTTCCGAGGAAAACCGAAGAAGAAAGATTACAAATAATATACCTGAGTAATTTACCTGTAATGATAAAATATAATTGCCTGTGTTATGATCGGAATAAAGTGCTCGAATGGAAGAAAATACATATTCGTTAAAGCTTTCGTTGAACTATCCAAACAGTAGAGTGGTCAGACATTGTAAACGAAATAAAACAGTCTAAAATGGGTAGGGCACTTATAGTGAAAATAAGAGCGATGGTTRAAATGTTTCTCGATAACTATATAGGGTTAAATACCACTTGGTTAGGCCAAGACTTCGTTGTAGATTACATCCAGATTCCAGAAGGATTTCTCAAATAYTCGAAGAGTAGAGCCGAGGAGTTATTGTCTGTAAGGAARTAGCAGGAAAATAGAGGAKATTTGCGGAAGAGGATCTGTTCTGCACAGTTGCTGCAAYCTTCTCTGAAATTTCAGGAAAATTTAAAAACCCTTGGGTGTATAGTGAATTTATAGCGTAAAATATATTGTAAGTATCCATATATTAAAAATGTACTTACTAATGTGAAAGTTATAGTGCAAGAGTATAAAACTTTACATTATACTATTATAGGTATATACTAATGGAATCAGCATACCTACCTAACTTATGGATTCTATTTATTATAATATTTCTCCTACATTTATGTATAGTTTACCGGGTAAACTTTACCCCAATATATTTACAAAATATTATAAAATAATAAGTATTAAAAACAATAAATATTACGAAATACAATGTATAGAACGACAAACCYTATAGGCGCATCTTATAGGTAGACGTATTTTATCGATGATCCCGTGGTGTACACAGTGCACACGGACGTCCACCAAAGKGAACATAATGTATTGATAAATAATTTAGGTGATTTGTTTGATCGTACTAATAATCTACTGTAGCAGCTGTCTGCGTGGCTTTATACCGATTTTCATTTATACGAGTAATTTGAAAATATTGTACCTCGTAGCACGATTTCGTACCGCACAGATAAGTGGTATTCAGAGCCATCCTGAAGCAATACATTGGTACCCCGTATTAAGGAAATATTAAAAATGTGATCGAGAATTTTCACATATTATTGCATTAGCTATAGGTAAAAGACATCAGACTGTCGTAATATTACTATTTTTTTTATTTTGGTATAACTTAATAAAGTAGTGAAATCGTAATATACGTCGAAAGGTCCTAAAAAATATTCTAATTCTGCAATCGAAATATAATATTATAGTTAGATCACCATACTAATAATAGCATGGTAAAAAAATAAATAACGAACTAATATAATTTGTATACCTATACATTTATTGTCGTCAAAAATACTGGTTCAATATTAGTTGGGCATTTCAATTAATTAAAAAAAAAAAACCTGACTTACGAGAGAACGAGCGAAAAACACGTCAGATGGATCATATTTTCTGTGCACATAATAATACTCGTATTATATTATTGTAATGATCAAAACCTTAACCCCGTGATTAAAC